CCCCTCCCCCGCCTTTAATCTATTACATTTGTTCCCCTGTGGTTGTGCTGATTGGCTTCTGTTGCTTTCCTATGCTGGGGAAGGAGGCAGAAAGGACGCAATTAGCAGGAGGACATGGCTTCTTGTAGGAGCCAAGTGAGGACCGTCCTGCCCACTGCAACGTTGTAAGGTCTGGTATAGAGATAGGCTCGGTTTCAGCCAACCTGGTGCAACCATGGCATTTAGTTACTCATTAAAATAAGGGGATAATATTTAGTAGGTAAGATTTAGATCAGTGTGTTTCACTGTGATGGGCGCATCTGTTTGGCTATGCTTTTTATCTATTCTGGCTCATAAGCTGTTGAATGTAGTATTTTTCTATTGTTAAGACTAGCAGTTACAGTAGCATTTACTGCATGTTGCTACAAGGGTTTATAAAATCAGTCTTCTAGTTTTCTTTTAAAATACAATTGCTTCTCTATTTTGTGGGATGGCATGACTGTCAAAGATAATGCTACTTAAAACATACTTTTTTTTTTTTTTCTTCAATTGTAGGAATGCTTTAAGGGAAGCTGGGCCACTCACAAGTTATTACACAAGAAAGCAAGTAAGTACATTTTTTTTTATCCATTTTAATATTGTTTTGATTTTGTTGTGTCCTGTGCAGCTGGCTCTAGGTGGTCCTGCTTGAGCAGGGGGTTGGACCAGATGACCTCCAGAGGTTCCTTCCAACCTCAACTCTTCTTTGATTCTGTGTCTAAGAATTGTATGGATTTTCCCAAGATATCTGTCACTGGATTCTGCATATCTGAAATTTTGTCCAGTTCTTGGTAATGTAAAGATCTATGTAAAATTTCAGAGGCAGTGGTACAGAGATCTCTGTTTCTGTTCCCTTTTCTATGTGTATGAAGTATTCCTTGAGCTACATTGCCAGGTATATGAACACAGAAAGAGGGATACTAAAATAAAGGGCAAGGAGAATAATAAACCATTATTATAAGGCATTGCCAGGCTTGTTCCATCATAGCATTTTGATGTCTAATGTAGTAAAAGGCAGTAAAGTGGGAAAGGTTCTTGTGAAGTCTTTGTGATTAGACACTTGCTGGAATGCAAGTGAGCCAGTCAGAGTGCAGCTGTTCTGTACATCTGGGGTGTACCCCTTTGGAAAAAAAAAGGAAAATGCTTCTGTGCACTGATGCAGCTGTTGATAGGAGGGTGTATAATAGCTAGGATTTTGCTGATTTTGCTTGAAGGTAATAAGAGTATCTGTATGCCTTAGTTACAGCTGGTAGCTCTGGCTCAGAAATACTAGTAGACTGGTAGATTCTCCCTTACCTGAGTAGTAAAAATAGTCCGTGAGTTTAGAACTAAGCAAACAAGAAGAGAGAGCATACCCCAGTTCTGCCCCCCTTGCCTCCTGACCCCCATACCCCTGCCCATCTTCATCAAGCCCTGCTTAAAAGGGAGGTGGGATTAAAAAATAAGCGGCATGGCAGAAATTCAAATCCACAAGTAATTTACCTCCTCCTTTCCTAAAACCCAATAAAACCCCTTTTTCCATGATAAATATTGCATGGTTAACAGGTTGGAGTAGCACAGACAATTACAAATGTTTTCCTTCTTCCTGCCTTTCCAGTGTAGGGGTCTCATAGTTCACACTTGCATTCTGTGTCCTATTACTTTGTAGCTGCATGGATATGAAACTGTCTGTGTTAGTAGTTCTAGTAATCCTCTAGTGCAGTCTTCTAATGCTGTTGTTTATCTGACAGCAAATTTTTTTATGATCCCACTAAATCCATGATCTTGTTGGCTTCCTGGATAACTGCTGAGCCCAAGCTGAGCTGAATTGGTTCTGATAGTCCTCAAGACCTCAATGCAACAAACTACTGAAGCATCTCAAGGGAATCCAAAATATCGCTTCATTAAAACTTTGGATTTTTAAATTGTTATTTCTCAGTGGTTCATCTAAACTGAATGTCATGTGAGCAGATGGCTCAGATGTCAGCCACAGAGACTGAGGAATTCACAGTCTTGCTATGGCAGACCTTTTGCCGTCTCTTCATTCTTGCGAGATGCAAAAGAGAAAACAAACTTAAGTTATCAGGTTATGAGTTAAAGATTAATGCTACTGTGCTCTTTCTTAACCCTTGTCTCCTCTTTCCTAGTAAATATTTTTCCTTTTGGTAATGCTCACGATCTACTTGCTTCAATCCTTTTTATGTAAACACACCTTCAGTCTGCCTTGTTAGGGCTGTGTTATTTGTGAATGAAGTTAGTCACTGGACCACATCAGACATGAATTTCGCAAGGTTGAGAGAGCTGGGAACCTCCAGCAGATTGGGACCGTCTTGTAAGGTGCACGCGCTGCCTGTCCTGAAATGCAGAAGTGGCAGCACTGCACTCTCTGTCAAATCTGGAGGGGTAGCAGGCTCCATAGATTGAAACTGACAGTTTGATACCGTCCTTCCCACCCCAGGTCATTTCTGTCACTGAATGCTAAGGAAATCACAGAAAAGGAACATTCATATACAGTGCAAGAGTGTTAATTGAAGGGATAATAGAAATATGCTTTTTCCCAAGAATGAAAACAAACACAGAACTATGTTTTAGAACTACAAATGGAGAGCAACTTAAATAATTACTACACTTAATTTGTGCATTCAGTACTGCTGTCCTGATACTCCCCAGTTTGCTATGGAGTAAAGATAGAGTTAGCAGGATGTGAATTTTGAATGTGAAAAACTTAAGGGCAATACAAAATGGTAACTGCTACTTACACCTTCATATATCAGTATCTAAAACACCAGGAAGAGTCAAATCTAGACTTAGGTATTTCTAAGTCACTTTCTGGACCCCACAGCTTGTTCTTAGTAGGACTGATTTTGCTGCTGCAATTTTTTTTTCTTTTTTTTTTTCTCTTTTCAGAAGATGAAAAAGCTAAGCGTGAAGTTTCCTCTTGGACCCTGGAAGGTGACGTTAACACAAATCCTTGGTCTGGTTATCGATATACTGGTAAACTCAGGCCACACTATCCACTGGTAAGCAATAGGTGCCACTCTGTACTCCAGCGCTGCTACATTCTGTAGCAACTAATGGACCAGTCCTGACCCTGATTACCTCCCACATTTTAGCTGAGAGAGGAGAGCTTCTTAAACAATCTGAACCTGATGGCAAGGATGTGTATGACTGTGTCCTTATTGTGGTTCATTTTGATTTAACTCGATCTATCTTTTGGTATATTTAAAATGAAGGAAGTGCCTGTGAGGCAACCTGCATCAGTAACAGGCTTAAGCACATACCTTTTGGCTGTGCATTTTGACATTTATTCTGCAAAAAGCTGCTGCTGCTAGTTCAGATGATGTCTTCTCCTAGCTGTTTACTGTTCTCATCAATAATGGAGCAGTCTGTTTCAGAAAAACTCAGGTGAATTAATTTAGAATTTAAATGAATCGTTTTATATTATTTTATATAAATGGTTTGAAATAACCTGGTGAGTAAGCTGGTGAACAGCTCTGCTGAAGGAACAAAGGTTATAGTAATCTCCAGCATGGGAATGGTGAAGAATAGCTGAGGTCAGTAACATCTTCAGCTGCGAAAGGTGGATTTAGAAGACGACCTCAGTATAGCTGTATTTTTAAATTGATACAAGTTCGTACATGGAATAAGCCAAAGTTTGACAGGAATAATGGCATTTTCTTTACATGTGTCTCTTCTAATTGGCCTGTGCTAGGAATTCTGCCCCTGTGGCATCCTTTCTATAGTCTTCTCCATCTGCTACAGGCTCAGCAGAGAACAGATTAACAGAGCCTGAGCCCATGTGTATTTGTTAGTGTAATTGGAGAAAGGATGTTTTGGATATGTCACTGGCCAAGTAATTTAGTAGTGTTATCGCTGAACATGTGCTTTTTTGTTTTCTGACTGCTGTAGGATTGATGCAAATGAAACTATAATAAAATGCTAATGACTAGGGTGATGATTAGAAATAACAATCTTGCTAATAGACACTAATAACCAGAGAGAGGAAGGATGTATTTGGCACCAGTGCATTTGCAGTCTGGAAAGTAGCAGAATAAACACTACAATGTAACAGGGATAATATGTTATAAAACCAATTTCATTTACTTGACACATAAAAGTTTGATTTTTACAAAGATGTGAAGTTGGCTATTAGAGGTTGTGTAATATGAAAGCAATAAAGAGTAATAGGAGAATCTTTGAGAAATGAAAATGAAACTTTTTCTAAGTGGAATTAGCTATATTTCATTGTATTTAATTTTGCTGCATGAGTGTCTGTTTTTGTGACTATAAGAAGTATTCTTGCAACCTAACCAGCTTTGACTATGGTTTATTTAGACGCCAACAAGACCTGTGCCAAGTTATATTCAGAGACCAGATTATGCTGATCACCCGCTAGGTAACTTGAAACAAATCACCATTATGGAGTGTTATGTTTGCTTTCTATTTTTCTTATAATTGAAAAAGCCTTTAAAGCATGAAGGAGATACTGGAGAAGGGAACTTCTTTTATCTGTTCTTCTCACTCTACCTCTTCTTCCCCAACATTAACTTACTGATTTTTCAGAAATAATGGTTACAAGTATTTTTTGGAAGTCTGAAGTTTGTAATGTGTTATCTTTCAAAGGAGTTCAGGGAAGAAAAGAAAAAAACCATGCCAGTCCTAGTCCTGTGGTTAACTTGATAACAAACAGCAATAAGTTGGCTGCCACAGGTGAATTCTGCTAAGCCATTCTCAGTGACATCAGTGTATCTGTTGGAAATGTGTTATAAAATAACAAAACCAAACAAAACTGCAGTAAGCAACCCCCAAAAGAAAACGGATATATGAGTTCCAGCTATTTTTGGACACAGAGGGAATACATTCAAAATGACTTCCTTATTGGTTTGTTTTGGTATTTTTCCCTTTTTATATCAGTATTGATGCTTTGCATTTCCAAAAAAAGCTGCTATAAAGTCTATTAGAATTATTTTTAAATCTTCAGCTGTTCTTTAGTTATTCTTTACAGAATGTAAGTATTTAAACAACACAAAATACTGTCTTCTGGGGGGTGTGTGTTCAACTATAAAACTGAGCTTGCACAGAATTTGGTAGGAAGAATTTACATGTTTTCATCAGCTAATTATTGCAATAGTGTAACTAGAGATATTCACAAGCTTATATAATTCTTTATGGCTCTTTTAGAATATTATTTATCACTATTTAGTATCTCCAAAGCCGCTTTAAAAAAAAAAAGAAAAAAAGAAAAAAAGACTTTTCTATTAATAAAATAATTTCCTTGTAAATCTGGTTTTTAAGGTTTGACTAACTTGACATGATGGTTTTATGCAGTAAGTGAACAGGCATCCTGAGCACATGTGGGCATTATGATATTGTGGAAGGCTTGTGAATTCAAATTAATCTGGCTAATGATGATAATGCTATGACTTGGTGGGTTTGTTACTTTAGTCTGTGGTGAGGAAGTACGTACTTTCATTGCCACTGCTAAGCTAAGCAAGTTCCTGGACATGTGTAGCATGTGTAACAATTACTCCTCTATATAACATGGGTTTTTTCTTTCTTTTTTTTCTCCTTGCCTTTTTTTCTTTTCAGGAATGTCTGAATCAGAACAGGCTTTAAAAGGAACCTCTCAAATAAAAATACTCTCATCTGAGGATATAGAAGGGATGCGAGTAGTGTGTAGGGTAAGGGGGTTTTGATTTTCGTTACGAAGTGTCTTTATTCTTTAAAAATCTATAGTAATTTTACCAGTTTGTGAGAGCACATTCGAGAGCACAAACTTTCAAACCACTTTTGAGCACTGAAAAATAGTTTGGGAAATTTGGTATTTTCTTGCTTTTTCTCTCCCTGTGACTCCCAATTCACAGTAAACTATTTTGCAAGCAGAAAGATTACTTTTATCTATTTTCTGGCTTTGTTGTTACTAGCGGGATAGTGTGTGCTGAAACGTTGTTACTGTTAAGAATATATTTTATAGTGCATAAATGAGAACAGAACTTTTTCCTCTCCTGGAGTTACTACTAAGTAAAAACTAAAAAGCAAAAGCAAAACACAGCCCCGTCCCTAACAATTTTTGAAAAAGAGGTGTTCAATTGTAATCATTTCCTTGTGCGTAAAGTCAAACTTCAAAATGTATTTAGGTAGTCTGATTTTTTTATGGTATTCAAGGAAATTGTCATCCAAATCTTAATTGGGGTATTTTCAAATCTCAGAGGTGCTTAATAATATAACCCGTAGACATCTCGAAGTCTTTCTAGAGCCCAAGTCTACCCAGCCTTCCTAGCAATCTCGGTATAGCTCGGTATAGCTGTAGAAAATGGGTTGCTAATCTAGGGAGTAGTCCTGGTCTTATTTTAAATCAGTACTTCTGTTTCATTTGCAGCTTGCTAGAGAAGTATTGGATGTTGCTGCCATGATGGTGAAAGCAGGTGTAACTACTGAAGAAATTGATCACGCTGTCCATTTAGTAAGGTTATTTTATTGTTCTTCTGGTGTTTATAAGTGCTTTCTTCTATCTCTTTATTTTTGAATGATTGTTGTGTGGTTTTCTTTGTTGTTGCATGAATTCCTTTTCTTTATTTTGAACTGTTTCCCAATTTGAAGATAGTGGTTAGTGCAGATGTTAGAAATATGTTACAGTGCAATGGTAGATTCAAAATTAGGTAGGAACTCTCTCTGTATCAGCTCCTTCCATGATTTCCTGCTTCAGATTCCCTCTAAGTTTCTTTACCTGTTTTCTCGGTTAACATCATACAATTTTCTTTCTTGTAAACCCTTTTTGCTCCACAGATACCATTATATAAAGAACATCATATGTAGGCCATGGACTTCTTGTGTTCTGTGTTGTTGGTTAAAACGTACAGAGGAGAAAGTTTAATTATTTATTCTCATTCTGGGAATCAGAACTGAGAAGCCTGAGGGAGAATTGAAACAAGATGTTTGGTGCAGTCGGGCAAACTAAAGCCACAATCCAGCAAAGTATTTGAAATACATATTCACGTATTTTCCTGGCTTAACTATTCATTGATACTTGAATTGTGTAATTTTTATTTTTCTTTCTGTCTTCTCTATAAATTGATAATTGGGGATACTTGTGTGAACTGTGGGGAAGGCAACAATTTTGGTATAGTTAAGTTTGTTAGAGAGCTTTCTGGTTGCTGTTCTTTTTATCTGCATTTGCAGCTGTTGAGCCAAGATTGTAAGGAACTTAATCTGGTTTGATTATGCTGGAGGTTTCTGTTGAACTGCATTAAACAATAAATTATTTGCTTAAGCATAATGTCTAATATGAACAAATAGTAGTTAAAATGGTGTTATCCCTTCTCAGCAGTTTTTGGAAACTTTTGCATGGCAGATTGTTGATATTGACAGATATCCCTAATTGGTACTTGGCAGTTTTAAAACAGTATTTTTTTTTTGAATAAAAAAATGTTAACACAGTATTATTTTTCCAGAATTGCTCAGTATGTCACATAATGTGTATATGTAAGTCTATATAAAATGTATGTGTCGGTTTTGCAAAAATCCGAAAAAGGTTATTAGAGCAAGTGCAAAGGAAGCAGCTTAAGGTTTTAAAGCTAGGCGTGAAAGAGTGGTGCTAAATGTTATTTTGTCTAGCTTGTGTGTTTTGCAAAAATGCTTAAAGTCTTAGACCAGGTGCTTAAAAACAGTGATTGAAAATGGCTGTTTTTTTAACTGAATAAATATTGCCATACATTGTTTTAAACCTGAATATTTCAGCATTGGTAGTTGAACATAAAAATGAGTAGAAACAAAATTAAAGTAGCTTTGCTTTCTTCCTGGTAAGAAATGCAAAGCATAACAAAATACCGTAATGCCAAAAAATGCTTGAAGAATTTTATTTTCAAGAGTCACTGCTTTTCAACCTATCATTCTTGTTGTAAAGCTGTTGTGCATATGTTTCTTCTTTGTACAAAACTTACTAATGTAAAGTGTAAATTGTATTTTCTAAATTAGGCTTGTATTGCAAGGAATTGCTATCCTTCCCCTCTGAATTATTATAATTTCCCTAAGTCGTGTTGTACATCAGTGAATGAAGTGATCTGTCATGGAATTCCTGACAGGAGGCCATTGCAGGAGGGAGATATTGTTAATGGTAAGTGCTATGAAAATTAACCTGTGACATTTCTACCTTCTATCCAGTTAAACCATGCAGTAAGGTGAGGTTTCACTAGTAGGCAACATGATTGGAATAGCTTCTTTAAATTTTTAAATTAATGAGTTTATTTAATAAAATAATTTCAAAAGTTTGGTCCACTTTAAGAGCTTTATAATTCTTCTACCCTGGTCTGTGCATTAGTGTAGTGCCTGAGTATTCCACTTGTGAGCTAGGTTCCAGTTGTTTCAGACTGTATAAATAGTGAATAAAATGTATATTGGATTATTCAACTGGATTAGTTCTGTGTGAATTCTTAATTAGATGGTTCTAGGTCCTTAAGATTTTGCTACAGACATGATGATTATGATGACTGTAAAGGATTCTAATAGTGAGGCATTGTATAGGTGCATATTAAAAAACATACCTTTTTTTGAGCATCTCTCAGCCTAGCAGTACCAGCTGCTTTTTGTTCATGGTACTCAAGGTACTTATGCCTTCTTGGGTGGTGAGGGATACTTTTATAAATTACTTGACCGTGTTCTGTTCTCTCATTCATTTCTTCTTGGTTTGGCAGTAAAAAATTAATGACATTTGTTTTGTACAAACATTTGCACCTTTATTTATTGCATTGGTTTGCTTTTCTCTTATCCGTAAATAAATACCCAGCGTATCCTAAGGTTTGGCCTACCTCTAGAAGCAGGTTGGAATCCTTTTAGGTTGTCAGATATTTGATATATATTAACATGCAATAATAGCTACTAAGTCCACAGCTCAGTGCTGTGGGTACCAGCCTTTTCAGAAAAAGCTTCACGATTGCTGCCCCTTTCTAGGTTAGGTTTGGTCTGGCTGATAGCTCTGAGCTGTAGCGTACATGTAACCATTTGGCCAAAGCTCCTTTATCTTTTTTTAATTTCAAAGATGATGCCTTTGCACAGCTTTCTATTGTTGCCAGCTTTTCTGGCATTGCTGGAGTCCAAACTGAGAAGCCCAGTGAAGCTTACTAGGTTGGCTTCATCTACACTGTGCCTTACCTCTCTGCTATTTGCATGCCAAGGCTGTACCTGAGCACTAGAAAACACCTTTTATAAGAGGGTTTAGTCATACCTTTGTTCACATCCCTGCCCTGACTGCACTTGCCCAAGCTTTGAGCCTTCTGCTTTGTTTTGATGAGGAAGAACTAGTTTACTCTTTTGTAGCTGGGTAGGTCTTGTTACGATATGGTCCACATTTTGTGGATTGAACGTGCATTCTCCATGGGCTCAAAAGGCTTCCAAGTCTTGTAGGCTTCCTTTTGGTAACATAGTGGCCCAAGAGCCTCTTTAAAAGAAGAAACAAAACAGGGTACAAAGGAGGAGATAGGAAGAGTACTTTGGAGGGAATGTGCCCAGTGAACAATAGAAGGAAGGGCCCGTCTTCCTCTTTACTTTAAACTTTTTAGCCTGCTAGAAGCAAAAGGTGGCCATGTCAGAGTCCAAAACAGGTTTTTAGAATCACAGGAAAACGTCGTCCAGAAGGTACTGGCAGGTGATGTCTAGTCCAACCCCCTGCTCCGAGCAGGGCATCATAACATTTTCTCATCATACAGTTCCCTGGGAGCAAATTCTTAAACGAAGCTGATCTCTCTGCAAAATGAGATGTTCTGGCCAAATCTGGCAGTGTCAAGAGAAAGTCTTGTAATCACGTAGCCTATAGAGATAGCCTCTTTGCAGTAAGTAGTCTGGACACTGTGCTAAGGAGCTCTGATATACAGTTCACAAGAAACTTATCTGGATAAGTTACCAGGGTGCTGGTTTCTATACAGTCCTGTTGTTACTTCACTAGATGTGTACACTGGTCAAAATGTTCCAGTACTCCCATGGAATCATGCAGTGAGTGTAGTGTAACCCTGCACATGCATGCATCCACAACAGGCAGTATTGTTTTTGTGTGGTGTTAATTTCATTCTTAAATGTTTGCCAGCAGTACAGATTTACTGTTGACACCAATGTTCTTTTTCCCCACGTTTTCCTATCAAGGTTGTACTGATCTCTCTAAGCAGCTCATATACCATATTCCTAAAGTATCGCTGATCAGAACACTTTCCTTCATGGCTGTTTACCTGTGAGGGGGTCTGCGTGTGGATTTCTGCATGAATAGCAGTTCAATAACCATTCTAGTGGTTTTGGTATTCTAGCGGCTATTAGACCTACCAGACTACTGACAAAGTCTGTTAAATACAAAAGTACCCATTCTACCACAGGAAGTCAACTTGATATGCAAATCTAGAACATTTTGCATGTGTTTACTATATATAATGACTACACGATGGCAGGTTTTAATTTTTTACTCATCTGCTATGAGAGATAGGATACTAGAATAGATGACAGCTATGTCTAAACTGGTAGGCCTGTTCCTATGTTTTGTAAAAGGACTATTTGCAACAAGCATCTTGTATGGAAGTTCTTAATCCAAAAAAGCCTATCTTTTTTTTGGAATTAGTTAAACTAAAAAAGATTTTTTTTTTCCCCTCATTAAAACTACACATGCTGCTATTTTTCAAGAATGAGTTATATCACTTTTAGTTTACAACCAACTTCATACACAAAGCAAACAAGTTAGAGTTTTGCTGCAACATAATTTTAAACTCTTATATGTTCTTCTAAACCTCAGTTGTTTAAGCATGTCCTTCTCATTCTTGCTGTTTGCCTGATATGGAATGTTTAAATTCTTTCATTTGAAAGAAAAAAGAAGTTTTAAGTCATTTGGTGTGTTTTTCTTAGTCAGGAATACTATTGGAAAGTTGCTGTGTATTTAATGTTGAAGCAATTTTACCTTTTTGGCTGGAAACAATGGGTTTTGGCATTACAGTTTTTGCGAAGGTGTGACTTACTATTCTAAACATCATAGAAATTACTGAAGTTAAAATATGGGTTAAAACATGGTTACATACCTTTTTAAATTTAATTTACCCCTATTAGTGCTGGAATTAATTCTAAGAAAATATTTTAACCAGGTAAATCACCATGGAGCAAAGAGCTTCTCTTTCCCGTTTTTATATTTACCTAGAAAACCAATCATAAGCTTGCTGTGTCTGTGTTGCATTGGTGTGGGGTTTTTCCTCTTCCATTTTTTTTTTTTTATTAAATCAAACTGTTGACCAGTGAAACACTATCTTATTAATTAATTCTATAGAATCTACAGGATAAGCATGAGAGAATTGATTCTGCTAGAAGAGTTTACATCTGGAATTCTTCCAAAGTAATCTTATAACTTCACAATTACAATACTACATTTTTACATGTGTGTGTTTGTCCTTTCACAAATCAAGAGACAAGAAGTGAGAAATACAGTGCTAATATTACAATATGTCTGGTATTCTTTGCAGTGGATATTACTGTCTATCGTAATGGCTACCATGGAGATCTGAACGAGACATTTTATGTTGGAGAAGTTGATGAGGGTGCAAGGAGGCTTGTCCAAACAACTTACGAGTGCCTAATGCAAGCCATCGATGCAGGTAAACCCTTTGCCTAGGGCCTGAAGCATTATGGTTTTGGTTCTCAAACATGAGTGCTCATATTTGCTATTACCCAGGAGTGACTTCTGTTGTAGAACACAGAAGCGTTAGTGTGTGTCACCAGCAGATGATGTATATTGTATAATACAGTGATTCTTCAAATGGCACGGTTCTGTGGGTGGTGGTTGCAACTTTATTTGAAATGTGGGTTGACAAGGAAAATTGATGCTGAGCTGATCCGCATGTGATGATATTTACATGGAAACAGCCTTTTCGGACTATTAGTTAGATGAATAAGACATCCTTGATCTGAGTAGTTCAGAGAATGTGAAGAACAAAGGTGGTTTCGAAAACCAAAGTATGGCTTCCTACTTTTATAATTTGTATGGTGTTGCACAATGAACCAATGAGGTAAAACACTGTTTGAACACTTAAATGTATCTCTTTACCCCTGCCAAACCTGATGGTTGTTTCATAAAGCTAATTATGAGCTCTTGATTTTCAGGTGTAGGAGTGTGCCAGAGAAGACAGATCCATATGCTTCAGCACCAACAGAACTTTAATTATGTTGCTTAGATAAAACTCAGAACAGCTTCATTGAAACATACAATGAGATAGAAAGGTAGCTAGAGAATGTCATGTTCAACTTCATTCACAAAGGAATATACTAAGTTCTCTTAGACAAACAGAGAAAACAAAATAAAAATCTCCCAAGTCACTGGAAATATTGGTATTGTCTGTACCTTTTATACCCTGCAGCTTCTTAAAATCCCCAGTAAAATTTACTCACTTCATGGCCTCTAAAGACTGAAGCTTAAGGTGCTGTATATGAAGGCTTTAGACTTGCATCTAATCAAAAGTAAATAAAAAAAAAATTATAATGGACTTACTTTGGTTAAGAATTTGGAGATAGCTAGCCAAGCTGAAAAGGCAAAATTCCATATGAACGATGTCTTGCATATCCGTTGTGTGATCAAGAAAATACTGCAGAGTTGAGCTGTGAAGAAGTGAATTTTTCACACCATTTTCATCTATTTCAAACTCTTTTTAACTTTTAAGGCTTCCTAAAAGGATTGTCAAAAAAGTTAGTCCTGCACGTGAACATTCTTATTTGCTGTAGTGTTGCTACTAAAAATCTTGTCTAAGAGTAGAGATACCCATTTTGTCTTTTTTTTTCCCCTACTTGGACCTTCACTTATAATAATTTTTACTCTTTATTTGCACTTTTCACATAGTAGTAGAGAGATAAGTGTATATTAAAAAATAGTTCATACATTCATTGAAAGAAGCACTGCAACTCTGGGTATGAGAAGTTACTCTTTGAAAAGTCTTTTGTTGTCTTTAATTTCAAACTTCAACATCCTTTTAGTATATGAACACTTACATCCATGAAAGGAAGAAAGTAGTCTTCTTGTGAAGAAGGAGTTTTCTTCTTTCTCTCTCATTTTCTCTTTTATATGAGACTGTTTCCTCTGTCTCTCATGTTACTGCACTCACTCACATACTTGGTGGATTAAGTGATCATAGGAAGTTGCATTCTAGAACAGATGGCCATACAAGCCGTGAGTGCTACGGAGATATTAGCCTGAATGGTGTTTGATGGTTAGTTCTGTTGAAAGAAAGCTCTATAAATTTCCATCTGTATCTCTTTAATTTTGCAGTAAAACCTGGTGTTCGGTACAGAGAACTGGGAAACATTATTCAGAAACACGCTCAAGCCAATGGATTTTCAGTGGTTCGAAGCTACTGTGGGCATGGAATCCATAAACTCTTCCATACGGCCCCTAATGTGCCACATTATGCCAGTGAGTATTCATTCCTGTTGGGTTGTCCTGTAGACAAGAAATAGTTTGCAATGAATGCACTCAATTTACTTCTTGCTTACATTCTATTTGTGTTGCCTGACAGCCTGACGTGTTGCCTGACAGCCAAAAGTTAGCATTTTTGCACTTGTGAAATAATTTTTTTCTAAACGCTGGACCATAGCACGCTTTATGAACCTAAATAAGGTGAATATATTATACACTGAGACAATCTGTGCCTACGCTAATGATTAGTGTTAGCTCTTACCTGTATGGGTAAGTGCTCAATGGTTTTGCCTGAATTCCCAACTAATCCCTTAGACATCCTTGTCTGACATGAATGGGCAAATGTTTCTATCCTTAGAAGGTCTAAGCAAAAAATTACTGCCATTTCCAGATGTAAATAAAAGGCTTTTTGAATGGTATAGACAGGTGGTGTGCCTGAATCTGGATCCTGTTATGTTTCACTTTTCTTCATTTGAGTGTTGTGATCTGGTGTTCCCTAGAAACTTTGTACTGTGTGGCAGAGGAGGAACAACCCTTCCCCCAGCAGGTTCTCAGCTTTAGTTTTTAGGAATGGCAATGTTCCCATGACAATTTTTGCCAGCAGGGCTAAGAAACGACATCCACAGAGGCAAAGGAGGGAAGCTTAAGTGCCAGTGGACAACTAAGGATAGAATAAATATCATGAAGCAGTGATAAACAGTTCACACCCACTTCAGCTGCAAAGCTCCCCTGATAGGACATTTATTTCCTCAGACCTGACAGATGCCTCCATCTTCCCATCTTCTAACAAGCTTTAACACAGGTTATAGTTATAGATTGTAATCTAGCAATCCCTGATTTTTCATGTCATCATTTCCCTAAGTTATTTTTTCAGAGAACAGAGAAAATCTATTAATCACAGGGTAGAAGGGTATCAATTCCTGGTATTTACTTTTTGTTGTGTAAAACGAAGAAAATCTTGATTCTTTGGAGTTGGAGGGCATTTTATACCAATTAAAATGCAATCTGAGAAAAAGGAAATTTCTATCTTTCCTGGCTGTTAGGAAGTTTGACTTTTTTTTTTTTTTTTTGTTAAAATTGAGCCAAAATGTCTGCTCCCAAAAAGGAAGATGCTGGGTTTTTTTCTGGTATTTTTAAATACAGATTCACAGCAAAAGCAAAGTGGAAAGACCTGAGGGATTTAAAGCCTTTTGGAGGAAAAAACCCAAAAGCTGCTGCTTATTTCTGGCTTACTATGAAAGGATTTTTAAAAGCAAAAAGCTCATTTTATAAGCCTTTAAATTATTTAACAAAATCATGAAAACTACAGGGAATAAAGGACAAAATTTGTTCAGATGTGGAAGACCAGAAACTTAAATGTAAGTTTTGAGAGCAAGAAATACCAGCAGATGATGGAGATAGAAGCAAGACCTTTTAAGTAAAAGAAAAATGTTCTGGTTGCTGTTGTGTCCACTTGATGTCTGAGATTTTTAAAGCATCTAGGTGATTTACACAATTTAATAAATTTACACAATTAGAGTAGGCTGGGGGGTGGGGAATCTGTATGGAAGAATTGATGCAAATTGTCTACAGCAGCAAAGTAGCTTGGAGCTAACAGTTTCTGTGCAGTACTGGAGTTTGTTCCACCTCTCACATGCTAGGCTGGGTCAGATCTAAGCTGCACTACCGTTCAAGGTGAAACAGGGCGGAGGAAAAGGGCTGAAGCCTTTCTTCAGTCAAACTATGGTCCTAGAGACACGCTGTGCATCAGTTCATGTGCCTCCACATAAACATCAAAAAGTTCCAGTATTACTGTCCTGGATGCCTTGAAATTCTCTGCCTTTTTGTTAGCTAAAGAAATACCTTTATTATTTATTATATTGTTATCACCCTGACACTACTATGACCCCATTACCCAGAGTAATGAGGGCGGCAATGTGTCTTTCGTAAATGGAATCACGGGATTACTTAACCGCTATCATATTTTGACAGTTAATTGGACCTAATGGTTCAGTGGAAACAAATTAAGAGCTTTCAAGCCTTCTCTGAATATCTTAAGTGCTTCTTATTTTTATTGATTTTTTTTTTAATGATGTTTTTCATCAGAGAAGTCTGCAGAAATTCCTGTATTACATTTGTTCAGTGTTTTTATAGAACTGGAATTGAACTTCAGTTGTTGGAGGGTAAGACAGCAATTAATTTTAAGCTCCTTGAGTAAATATTGCAGTGTTGGAGGAGGGGAGAAGGAAAGAACTAAGGGAAGTCTTAATGTAGAATTAAAAATAGACAAGTGAATGCGTCATCTCTGAAGGGCTTTTCTGACTTTACAGTATTCCTGCTATATTCTTCTAGGACAAGGATTCATTCATTTACTAAGATAGGATCACTCTTTCTGACTTGAGTGTTTATTTTATTGCAGAAAATAAGGCAGTGGGAGTCATGAAGCCAGGTCATGTATTTACAATTGAACCAATGATCTGTGAAGGTGAGCAATTTACCAATAGAGTAAAATGGTTATTCTTGTTTACTATTAAGTAAAGTATAGTTGATAGATTTTTCATTTCTCTTTGGGGAACTGATATCTGTCACTTAAAAACAGTCAAAAAGTCATCATTTATGTTTTTAGGTGGTTGGCAAGATGAAACATGGCCTGATGGTTGGACTGCGGTAACAAGAGATGGAAAGCGATCTGCCCAGTTTGAACACACACTTCTGGTCACCGATACAGGCTGTGAGATCTTGACCCGGCGGCTAGATAGCATTCGTCCCCATTTCATGTCCCAGTGATAGTCTAGACTGAGCAGGTGGATCTGAATGATACATACATGGGTTTTTTTTTGTCTCTGTACTATGCATTTTTTAAAGAGTACAGAATAGAGAGATTTCATCATTTACTTTGTTCTCGGTGATTGTAGATAAGAGGAATATCTTGAAGAACCTGACCCGATGTGTGGAAAAGCAGAGAATTTAAAGAATTTCCTGCTTTCCTCGTACCTACAACACTCATGCTATATTTTTCTTTTTTCTTAATTATCTCTTTAGCACCTTTCTTCCAATTAGACCCACAATTGCTTCTGTTGCTGCCATGATATTAGCTAGAAAAGTGTGGGTAACCTTTCCCACTGGGACTTGATATTTTGGGATCCAGGTTTTTTTCACCACTTCAGTGTGCCCTGTCTCTCTTGGTATGTGAGTGGCACCTGAGATTTTAAGCATTTCTAGTTCCAAAGACTTGCTCCTGCTTCTGCAGATACTGTTCTAATGGGCTGGGCCTTGTTTGTTTATCAGTTGAGAAGGGGGCAGAAGGGAGAAAGGCATGCATGTTGCCAAGAATAGGCTACCCTTACCTTTAATTCTGTCCCCATCTCTCTGCTGATGGCCTCTGTGGTGATTGTGACTGTAGGTGACACACTGTGTTAATGGCAGGACTTGTTTCTCTTGCTGGAGATTTGATAGTATGGGCTTCCTACAGGGAAAATTAATAAATTCTGTCTTACATGCAGCTCCCTGGAATAAGCTGCTTCTCGGTGAAGCAGTATTTGCAGGCAGTCTCCTGCTCCAGAAGCTTGGTGAAGCTGATGTATCAGACTTGCCTAGGTAAAGGAATGAAACAAGAACCAAAAAGATCCCACGATTCATGGGATCCCTGCATGTGTTAACTGTGGGGCATTTTTTCCAAGGTACATCCACAGTAGCTGTGGGGGATTGGATTTGCAAGACTTACAGTGAAATGAGTATATATCTCAAAACAAGTCTGAGTGTGAGAAAATGAAACACCTTCTGCTGTATTCATTTTCTTTTGGTAATTTTTGAACAGGTCATTTTTTTCCCCCTCAGTTAAGTGAGTTTCATGCTTTTGGAAAGTCTTAGGGGGGCAGCTATGAAAACTGATCTTTTTTCCTCAGACTGGGTATAGAATGGGCAATGTTAGTATATATACCCCTTTATTTTCTGTTAATGGGTCATGATGAGCTGGAAACTGTCATGTTAAGGAGTGTGGATTGATTAAGCCTCTCTTCTCTCTACCCTTTCTTTTCCCATGCCCACTTCCTTTCCATCATCTTTGGTGTCTCTGCTGAGGAAATTTATTTTTTCTTCTGAATTGTAATGAAAAATTTTTCAAACCCCATTGCAGACTTAGTCTTACACCACTGTAATACAAGAAATAGTTAAACCAATGCAGACATTAAATCATACAATCATGGGCATAAAATACACCTTTTACAAGGTGTCTGGTGAATTTGTGGCCACATTAGACCCAAGCATATGAGGTGCTGCATGCCCTTGGCTCCCCTTGGCACTGCAGAATTTAGGGGGGGAAAGGGTTAGTGCTTCATAGAACTGGACTCGTGTGTACCACCAAATAGCAAATTTGCCAGAAAATGTCTTCTCTGCCCTGAGTGCCTCAGACCTCTGTTGCTGTAAGAGTATCATTGCGATGTTTTCATTACCTTTATTATTATTTTTAATTATGCAGTAAAGTGACCTGAAATGATGCATATAGAGTGTGTGTGCGTGCGTATGCGTGTGTGTGTGCATAGATTTTAACAAAACAGACTGTAGTACTTGAGTGGAATTACCTGTGTTGAATGAGATGTAATGTATTGAGGAGATGACTGTCCTGGAGGTTTGCCCACCATATCATTCACTTGAATGGTTACAACGGTCTTGCCTTTTCTATATGTGTGTGTATGTTGGGGGGGCTTCATTTTTGGTCTATAAAATAAAAGTTGCAGCTGCTTTTAACAGAAATAACTTTTTTTTTTTGTGATCCAAAACCAGATATAGCATTCTCAATTATATCCAAGTTTGCTTGTACTAGTGCAAGCCATACTGGTAGACGCATGCAACCAGTTAAAAATCACCCTTAAACCTGCACATGTGCCACTTGAATGCCTCTTTGTCATTGCACCAACATGACCAAATTTGACACTGCATGTTTTTAATATAGGTAATCTATGATGCTATGCATTTCTGCCTATAAATTGAAATCACAGCATGAAACCTGTTTATACTGAGTTCATGCTATTACGGTATTTTTAAACAAGTGGAAAGCTTAGTCAGCATCTACACCAGTTCTTTCAACATGAGATAGCACATCAGCCTGGAGAACAAAACTTATTTAATAAAAATATTGTAAAAGGCTATTTTTTCACCTGTCTAGCTGTAACTTTGCTTGAATGTGACAACCTGATCTCCTTCTTGCTTGAATTGACCAAGCTGATCTCCTCCTATGACCAGGTGACCTG